AAGATACAGTTTTTTACATTCGTTGTTTGTGCTGTGGTAATATGTGAATTTTAATGGGCAGCCAAACCCCGATGTGCTAGACAGTGCTGTGCAAACATGTAACATGATGGCAATCTTTGCTCAACAAAATGTCATCACTGTTAGATTAAAACCAGTATAAAAATCAACACCTGGATGTTGTACACAGAGGTACAGAGAACTTTTAATAGAATTTTTACTTGTGTGAGTTACACATCTAAGATAATGTGAGGGAAGATAAGCATGTGAAGTGATGGTACAGAATTGTTCCTAATAGCTCAGTAGTGATCAAGTTCCTTAGCCAGCATATTACGCATATGCACAGAGACAACAAACATGGGCACATACATAAAACCATGTTGTAGATATTTTGAATTTGGCTGATATGTTAGATTTTATAATTTGAAGGTGCTGTTTGTATAAAAGCTTGAGGAGTGATAGACTGGATAAAGCTGTAATGGTAATACCTTGATTTTAAGGTTTATAGCTAAGAAATTGCCCTTTTCCCACCTTATGTAAGTATATTAAATGTATTTCTGTGCTTGATTAAAAACCCTGATATTTCAGGAAAATTTATTCCAATCATCAAAACTGTTGAAGTTTTTATAGCATTAGAACAATGAATATTTTTGTTTTATCTCAAGAACTAGAAATGTATGCAATCACTACTATTTTGAAAGAGGCTTACTCTAAAACTACTAAGAATAATTTTATATAGAAAAATTAATTATTAATCAGTATTTCTGAAGTATTGACATATGAAACTCCTTCTGCATGGAACAGGTTGGACTATGGTATTTAGGGAAAACTTTGGCAGAATTTTGTGGTGAAATCCCTGAAGAAAACCTAGTATGATATGTTAAGTAACTTTGAAAGTAACTAAATAAGTTCTGTTAATAGGTGGATATTGTTGGATGTAAAATGGTAACTCAGTAATTATATTTCTTGAGAATATGCATCAGCTATCTAGAATTACATAGGTTGGCATCCCTCCATGGTTTCATACACAGTTAAATTAGGGCATAGATAGTCTCAGCTGTGACTGTCAAGATGTAACTTTGCTCTCACTGTTTCTGAAGGGTTGCACATCTAATTCAGCAGTCATATTAAAGACAGTTCTTCTGTCAATATTAAATCTCACCTGTGTATCTGAATTCAATGCTGTGGTGTTTTTGACTCATGTCATCGCCAGTAGTGCAGCGTCTGCAACTGGAATTTAGCCAGTAACTGTTGATGACAGAAGGTCCAGAATAGAACCCACCTTACTTTCCCAACCAGTATTAACTCTTGCACCACTGTCAGTTAGGCCAGTTCTGCACTTGGAACTGAATCAATGCATCTGTTAATGATGCATACACGCAATCCAGCTAATTTTCCACTATAATGGCTCTGGCTGCATAGAAAAAAGCAAAGGATTTTTTTCCCCCTGTAATCTAATCAAACTTTGTTTTCGATACGCACAAAAAATTGATCTGATAAGAAAGAAATTGTCATTTTTTACTGGCAGCAGTAACTTTTATGACACATCTGGCCTAGATGTTTCCTGACAGTATCATGGAGTGAGTGGTGAAGTAAGGAAGAAAACAACCAGAACACTGATTTCCAGATCTTTGACTGAATTTATACATCAGCTTATTAAGTTGGTTTTGGTACTGCATATCTATTAGTAGTGCCTGTAAATGTTATTTTCTTTCCATGATGTAAAAATATGTGCGTAAAAAACACTTGTAGAATGGTGTGTACAGATTTTTTGTAAACATGTACAGGATGCTAAAAGAGGCCCAAGAGAGGCCATGTAGAGAAACAGGACAAGGATATCGGTACGGTAAGAAAGGTGATCTATCACACCGTGCTAGCTGTCTGCCTGCAACAGCAACGTGCCGCGATGCCGGTCAGCTTTGCAGCTGTGTGGCTTTGTGCCTTGCGCTGCTTTTGTATTCATGGCATTTACGCATTAAAAAGTACCTTTACGGAGACTTTCATCTCAGTCGTGTAAAGCTTTGTGTGAACAAGGTTTTCCAGGATGCTGTGAGCTTTTTCATAACCCGGCCCTCTTGCTTGCTTTTCTTCGTGTATGAGAAGGTCGAGGGGCTTGGGAGCAAACGTAGGTGGATGGATAGCTGCTCGTCCTGAAGAAAAAGGCATCGGCCCCTTTTCTTCTTCAGCACCTCCGGAGGGAGAAGGTTCTTTGCGTCGTATTTTTGGAAAAGGGAGGCCTCGTGTGGTCAGCCGTGAGAACAGCTGCCTGCCGGGCTGGGGGCGGGGGGGAGCCCAGCCGCAAGCGCTCCCCACCGCAGGGTGCCCGCGCTCCCTCCTTCAGCTGAACTGTTGGTAGGCAAGGCAGGACGGTGAACACGGCCGTGCCGGTGGTATTTCATAGCGATACCGATGACAAGGTTAAAGGAAGAAGAAGCACCCGAGTATGATTGCAGCGGCTCTGTTATTGGAAGGGTCTGAAGTAGGAAATGCTGTTCTCACTGGTCCTTTTTCCCTTAGATACCTTTCATTGCCTTTCTAGGCATCTAAAACAGGTAACAAAACATCATTCAAACTCAGAAGTCCATGTCTGATATTGAATTTATCAGTTGAACGAGAGAATTGAAATGGAGCAGCGGTCTGTCTGGTAACTGACAAAATGACAACATTTTCATTCAAAGGCAAAATTAAGAAAAAAACCCCCCAAACCTGAAAGAGTGTCTAGTGCATGTAAATTTTAAAAAATAATGTCTGAGGTGTCCAGTGCTCAGTTCTTTGCCTTGAGATATTGTAAGGTCTAGCTGTGAGGAACTGTACAGCAACCCAGGTAGAGACCTGTGAGAACACCCGAGTATCAGTGAGTTAAAGCCCGAGTGCACGAGAGGGTATTCCAGCACTCTTACCTTAGACATATATCTTGGAGAGAAACAAGTCCGGTCGTAATGTATTTATCTCATTCCATTGCCTGCATTCTTATTATCAATTCTAAGCACATTCTCCAACTTTTCGAAGAATTGCCATTAAATTCAATTCCCCAAAATGTAGCATTTGCTGGCAGTAGTACACTGAGTACTATCCGTTGGGATTTGTGAGAAGCCTCTCATCGTGCCTGCCCTTCTGAAAAGATTATTCCAGTTTGTGACTCTAGCTGGGAGTAGTCTCTGGGGAAGGCACGGGGCTGCCCTTGTGCCCACTCACGTGAACAGTGCCGGACTGGAAGCTGGCTTTTTGTTTCTTCCCTTTTGATTTGTAAGATTTGTCCATTACCTTGTCTCTTTCAGTGACTGAAATCCATTCCCTTGCTTAACATTAGTCAAAATTTCCCTTAAAATCAAATGTACTTGTTATTGGGGTGTAGCTCTCGAAACACTAGGTTTAGGTCTTCAGGATACTAATGGTGGGATTCATCTGGTATATAGAAATTGCATATGGGAGTGGGTTATCAGGTTCACCTGAAGCAGTCGCCTTTATTGCAGGTCAAGCAGTCAAGATGAAGAGAACAATATTCTGGACTCTGTAATCTCACCATGGTTTTTAGTTTGCTTATCTCCCTGATGCAGCAGATAGTGTCTAATGAATAAGGCATGTACTATCAGCAATTGCACTTTCTAAACTATCTATCCCCAGTGTGAGATACAAAGGAAGCATTTTTCTGATGATGGAAGCTAGTGTTTGTTATCAGATGCTTTTCAGGACCCTACTTCACGGAGGAAAAAACCCCTGCAAAATGGTTCATTTTTTCTAATTTTGTCTAGAAAAAAATAACCGAGAAGCCTCGTCTCTTGAGATTGAAAGAACACATCTGGAGGCAAAAGAAGCATATATCATTCTAGAGCTTTATTTCTTCTTGCTGTAAGTTAAGTGCATTTTGCAATAGAGTGTTTATACCCATGGGGTCCAATTCAGAATGTTTTCTGGTAATATTTATCGTTTTTTCCCAAGAGCATGATGCCAATGTCCCTGAAATTCATAGTGGAAGTACTTGTTCAAGGGAAAAAAAAAAGGAAAAAAAAAAAAATAGGGGATCCTGCCATG